TGTTTCTGCTAATCTGCAAAATGGTTCTTCTTTGAGAAACTTAGAAGCGTCTGCTAGAAACTATACTATAGTTTCTATCATAAAAACTACCACTCATTGTTTTGTCTTTTCCATATACATTTCTGTTTCCAAATCTGTATGCAAGTTGGAAGTCTAATTCTTGAGTTTTTCAACAGTTTGCAGGGAATGTATAGAAAAGAAGTTAATAGATGAGAAATTAAATCATTGTCCGGTTTGCAATACAGACTTGGGTTGTTCTCCACTCGACAAATTAAGGTAATCACAACGAACATGATCCTTCCATAGTGCTGACAGATTGTTCTAATATTCTCTGTTTCAGTTGCTGGTCTCACATCACTCAATCATGCATTGTAGTTTGAGTCATCATTAAATGATTATACTGTCAAAACATTTTTTTTCCATGAAATTACTTGATCTTCAGTGTAGAACCAACCATACAGGGATATACCAAAAAGTAAGGTTGTTTGTAACTGGAAAAAAAGTGAATGAGATATCTGATTGTTTGAGTCAATGCATGCACCCTGAAAGAAAATTGATGTGATCAATTCTGCTTCTTCTTTTTCCCTGCTCTTATTTCTATTTTATGGTTGAAAGTCTTGTTTTCTTTATCTCCTAGTCCTTGGAGTTTTCCTGTATTTTGCCTGACTACTATATTGTTTTGGGATGAACAGGTCAGATACTCGTAAGCAAGAATTGAGGGACAAAATTTTCCCATTTCAAGATGAAAATGATGAGGAACCTGCCGCCAAATTGTTAGCCAAAATAAAGAAGAATTTAGTTTCTTCATTAAAACCCAATAGAGAAATATCCAAAGCTGGTTTTAGAAAAGTTGCCATTGCCGAAGAAGCAGATATTTCATCTCCCAAACTTGATAAAGTGGAAGGTGATAAGGAAGATGAAAACCAGGGTGATGCTGAATTTGGGGAAGAAGGCGCTACAATTGGATCCGCTAGAAGAGCGAAAGCTGCGGCAAGAATAAAATTCATTTGCTCTGCACAACCTCCGGGACAAGAAAAGATAGAGGGTGATCAGCCTCGAGTTGAAACTTCCAGCGGAACTCTCAAAATCAGAATTCCGGTATACATTTTCTCTCATCATCTAATCTTTATCTGGTTCTTCTTTCTTAATCCTCAGTGTGCCTCTCCTTTTAAGAGAAGCTAATGTTATTTTGACCTTTTTTCTTTTAACTTTTGTTCAAATGATCTTCACATTTATGTTTTATTTAGTGCATGACTATTTCCTGTGATATGCAGAATCTTTCAAAACCAAATACTGAGTTAAGGAATGAAAAGGCTGACATGTTTGAGCCAATAAATAGCCAGGTGGGAGCTGGAAGAAAACGCAAGTCCCGTAGTAATTCCACCATGCAAGAAAATGGTGTCACTTCAGTACTTGTGCACTCTAATGACGATGACCCTCAGGTTGGTATGGTCAAAATCGACAACCATACTCACAAAACTAATGGTAACCACAACGAGTCAATTCCTTCAAGCTCAGATTCGGTAAAACCTATTGTTAGCACCCGAGAAAAAAGACCAAAAATCTCGGAGGACTTGAATTTTCCAGCACCAGCTGAAACTGATTCCGACAGTGAAAGCAGCAAAGACTTTGGTCCAATCTGGTTCTGCCTGGTTGCTGCAGAAGAGAAGTAAGATTACGCTTGATGGCATATTTAACATTGATAATCATATTAATTTTTGTGAATGTCTAAACTTTGAATTTCCGTATACAGTAAAGGAAGTGCACCATTGCCACAACTATCTTCGTGCTACCTACGAGTCAAGTGAGTTTTATATTCCTATTTTCTGTTGAGCTTTTTGTTGGCTAGTTTTTTAGTGCTTGAATGAGCATGGCACGCCATGCTTGAAATATGGTTTATCTGGCTGCTGTTTCATTTGTAAAGAGCTGTTTCTGTATATTCACTTATATATGCTATAAACCATACTTTCACTGTCCTCCTCTAGCATCCCTTTGTCTATATTGTTTCATTCTGTATATGTGCCATATGATATCGTTCTCATTCTTTATCCATCTACATTGTCAACTTTGGTTTGTCAGACATTTTGGTAATTATATTTATCTAATTTATCTTTCTTATCAAGCACAAACTGGTAGAATAACTGATAACTTTACACTAATAAATCTTCAAATTATTACAGGGATGGCAGTGTAACTGTTTCCTACATTAAAAAGTATCTCGTGAAGAAGCTTGGTCTTGCTAGCGAAACTGAGGTAAATTTGTTATCTTTTTGCTAAAGCTTACACCTTAGTGAAACGATGTATATCTATTTTTCAGAAGCTAATTGGTTTTTGTGGTTTACACTTTCAGGTGGAGATCACATTACAAGGGCAGCCAGTTTTATCTTCATGGCAACTGAACAGCTTAGTAGACATCTGGTTGCAAACTGTGCCAAAGAACGAGATTCTGACATCTTTTGGAAGTTCAGCCAAGGATTTTATCATGGTTCTTTCGTATGGTCGAAAGGCTTAACACCTCAAACTACCTCCTTGGTCTTTAGAGAGTTTTTATTATTTTTCTGTCTATTTAGAAGCCCCGAACTTTTTCTATTGACCATTTGCGGTAAATACATTATACCCTTCATTTTACAATAGATTTTATTGTTTATTGGAATTAGATCTTCTTTTTATGTTATGATCCTTTTTATATGTCTCACTTATTTTTCATTTATCTTGTCTTTGTTATTGCTTCTTTGGCTATGCACAGGAAAATATGAACCTTTTCAAATTATATCTTATTCTTTTAGTGTATTGATAGATGTAAAGAGATGTGGATAAAAAAGATAATGGAAGAAAAAAAATATGAGTACATGTGATAAATAATGTGAAAAAAAGAGAGAGTAGAAAATAAGAGAAAAGTTAAGGGGAATAAATGCACGATGATGATGATGATAATAATAATACTAATAATAATAAGTTTTCGAAAATATGCATTGCGGATCTCGCAAGCATTCAATGATGGTGCGAATATGATTTTGCTTTTAGAAGTTAGAACTATAAAATAAATCGCAAGTTATGTTACAGAAAAAAAAAGAAATACAAGTATAAATAATGATATGATGGGAAAAATAATAAATGTTAATCAAAAGTTGTATTTATATTATTAAATGTTGTATTTATGTTATTACACTCACAAATATGGTTAGTTTGGCAACCAATAAATATATTTTTTTTCATAAAAAATTATTTATTCAGACTCCTTGGGATACATTATATAAATCCATTTAGAGGGAAGAGAGACAGAAAAAAAAGAAAAGGAAAGAGATAGATACATTAGATTATTTTGATCGTGAGAGATTGGTATAAGAATGAAATGGATTAACGGTGGGTTTTTATTTATTCTAATCTAACACGTTAAAAATGAAATGACGCGACCTGTTAAATCAGTGTATATTGACAATGGTTAAGAATTCACAAGAGAATAACTCCTGTAGTAGGTATGTGTAGATTTAAGAGGGAAGTTTAAAATGAAAATTCTGTCTTCCTTTCTCACAACAGTTCAACTAACCCAAACGGAAGATATCAACTAATCTAAAGCCTGTTGGCGAGTAAAAGCAGATGTTAAATAACTGACTACATCAAATAAATATTTTAAGTTCGATTTAGTTTGTAATATTATATTCTTAGCAATAGCCATTTAAATTTCTTAAACAAATTCACGTTCATTCTTATTTCTCAAATCTAACTTATTACCTTTTTCCGGAACACAACAGAAGTCCAAAAGAGGAATAACATCAACAATATTTAAGAGAACGAAAGAAGAGAATTTAAAAGGGAATCAAAATTCTAGAGACAAAATTGTATAACTTTCTATGCTTCATTCTCGCAAGTGAAGAGCAAATATTAGGCACGTGACACTGACACCAGACTAATGATTAGCTTCTTCTTACTTTTGGATAATAATTGTAAACAATAGTTGCATTTATTCTGTTGCTTAAAAGGGAGATATAAAAGAAGAGCTAATGTTTGCGACAATACACTTTTGGGGGTAATTTTCACACCCAAAAAATGATCTCATTGACTTGTTGCAAGGTCTGTACCGCCGCTACTATTCCAAATAGATACATGTTGCATGCGAAAAATCAGAGAATTCAAGCGCTTGACAAATTGTAATTAATTAGATTGCAAGCTTACCGATTAAAACAAAATGAAAGACGCTACATACAATTTTTTTTCTCTCCTGAAAAAGCGCAGAACCTAAAATTGATCAAAGAGAATTTGAATGTTCATCCTCTTTGAAATTTTTATTTACTTTATAGGCTAATGAGTTTCTCTTTGGAACTTGTATCCACCTAGATGATAGAGAGACTCCGATAAAAGTAGAAATTTGTCGAACTTGTCACATTACAAGTAAAAACAGAGGAATACTTCTGTTGAATAAGAAAATTTGCAGCACAACAGATAGTTAAGTAGCAACTGCACAACAGAAAGTTTACACCAAAGATCTAGCGCATGATACATCTAGTTTGCAGAATTGATTTTGCAAGCAGGTAATTCACCCGACAACTCTTCTGAGAACATGATCATACTAAAAAGGGCATAATGCTGTCAAGTTTACAATGAGAATGCAATAAACTATCACACTAAAAAGGGCATAATGCTGTCAGAAAATGGCATGCACAAGCTTGGGGAAATATATCCCACCCTCAACAGTAATACCAGTTTATAGGACATTTGATTCCAATTTATACATTCATGGAGGTAACAAATTATGGCGAAATACCGTCAGATATTACATTGTTGATAGCTAGTTCTAACACAATTAAGGAGACTTTTATAATGCAAACGCATATACAAACCCTAGGTGCCACCCCAAAAAACTGGAAAATCATTCAGGCACAATGATGCAAGTGGAATTGAAGATGACCAACACTTAGATTCAGAAATTAGGTATTGTTGTACTGTGTTTCAATCAAAATTGGCGGGTTTTAGAAGAGAAACTAGACTAGCATCAGAAACAGTTACAAGAACTACATTTAAATTGTCCTCAAATGCATTATTTGGGCTTTCTTTCAGTTCAACCTAGCACATGACAGGGCAAAGTCGTATAGAAACCCTATCATAACGATGAGAAATCCCCAGCAGCACACCAATTACATGGGATCATTCATCCAATAACAAGGCAAATTTGATACAATGAATGCAGCATACATGAATAAATGCGTGATTGTTAGTGAATTGTACATCAGAGTTGAGAAATGGAAAAAGAGAAATCAAACAGGTACATAGGCACCAGAGGCGGGAGTGTCACCAAGCATATGGCCATAGGGGGAATCTTGATCGTCCCCGACAAGGTCTTCTGTACTCCGGAGCACGCCGTGCAAGAAAACCACAACGGCCTCAATTAGGAGGGCAAGAAGAAGGTTGAGCCAGGCGGCGGTAACGAAGAGTGCGACAACGGTGAGAAACGCGAGTGGGAGGATTGCGAGGGGGAGGTCATCGCGGGAGAAGTAGAGGAAGTACCAGGTGGCGGAGAGGAGGAAGAAAATGAGGAGAGGGAGTGGGTGGCGGAAGAGGGTGAGGAGGAAGATGAGGAGGAGGATGAGGGCGTAGTTGAAGAGGAAGTAGGTGACGTTGTGAGCGAGGCGCGTGGTGGCTTCGGAGATGGAGGACGGGAGGGTGAGGGCGAAGAGGTCAAGAAATACGCGCCACGGGCGGCGCGTGGAGATAACGGTTTGACTTGCTTCCCTTATATTAGCGAGCATTTCCGCAGAGGGCAACATTGTGGTGTGCACAAGATTGATGGAATTTGGAATCGGAGTTTTAGATTTTGAATTGGGAACAAGAGAAGACCAGTGAGTGGTGAATGAGTCGTCGATGGAACCAACCAAGACCAACTTTCTTTAACAAGACAAAGTTTCTTTCCCACTCCCCTCTCGTCTCTCTCTTACAATTGGGCCCTCCTGGCCCAACTAACTATCAACAACCACCTCCCAAAAACATAACTAATTGCTTCTTCCACCTCTTTTTTTCTTTCCACCTTTTCGTTACAATTTAATAATATCTTCTTTTAAGAAATACTAACACTGTCCAGAAAATATTTTCATAAATATATTGAAAAGGTCGAGTTTATAGATTCTGAAAAATTATGAAAATAAATGAATAATATTGAAATGTAGTTGATGCTTTGGTCTTTCCATAACTTTTAAAATGCATTTGAAAGTGTTTAGACAAAAGCACAAAAACGGGATATTTTTGTTTCAAAATAGTATAATTTTAAAACCAAAAAAGAACAAATCTTGCTAATTTAGTATGATTACATTATAAAGAAATCATATTATCTTGACACAACTTTGATGCACTAAAATAAAGTATTGCAAAAGTGATATGATTTCGATTAAAAATAAAAGTTAAAATATAATATGTTAAAATCGTATCGAAATTTATATGACTTCAGTTTATATTACAATATATGAAGTCACACTGAGTTTATATAACTTTAATTAAAATTTTAAAAAAATATATATTAAATCACATTAAAATGACACGAATTTAATATATATCACAATATATATAATGTAATACTAATACGACTAAAATTAAATTTTAAAAAAAATAAAATACCACTTTTTCACAACAAAGTATCAAATTGATGTAACTTATCTATTTTAATAATTTTTTAAAGCTTACACCATTTTAATAAATTTTACAAAAAAAAAGTTACATCATTTTAATATTTTGCCTTGCCATAACGTTTAAAGTATTTGATTGGAGCCTAAAACGATAAAAAGTACATGGAGGAAAATCACCGAAGAAAATGAATTTCTGGCACAAGTTATCAGAAACCTCCTCCAAAGAGCAGGAGGCGGTTAAAAAGGACATCGCTCCATCGCTTCACGTGCTCATTCCATCTCAGACACAAAACAACCCAATAAATAAATTAAAAACCTATATTTTAAAACTTTCAAAATTTATGTTTTCAAGACTAATGTCCAGAAAATATATATTTTAAATTATTTTCAAAACATTACTTATATCTATTTTCTAATTTTATCTTTTAAATTAAAATAATTATTTTATTAATTTTATACATTAAGTTATAACTTTTTTAAATTTAATACTTTTTCATTGATCTTTTGTTAAACTTAATTTTTCTTTAATTATGAATTTTTCTTCAAAATAAATTTATATTTATATATAAAGGATTTTTTTTTGTGTTTTATGTTTGAAATATTTTTTATAATTAAAATAATTATTTAAACACTTTTAGTTTTGACTAAATATATAATTTTAACTAAATTTTCACACACCTCTTATAATTTGTTTAATGTCTATAACATTGTGAATGTGAAAACTATAATTGGTTTATAATATGATATAATGGTTGGAACCAATTCAAGGAGAAATTAGTGGTGATGTTATTAGTGTATGTTTCGACATGCGAGTGTTTTAAAATTATATATGTTGATATACTACCAATCATTCAAGTTATATAGAAATAAATGGGATAAGAGAAAGAATGACAAGAAGTCTTTATCTTAGACTTTTAGTCTTAGGTGTGAAGATTAATCTTGTCAGTATTATAGTAATAACTCATATGTTTATGACTCTGCATATTATACATATTATTACAAGTGCACACTTATACTGTATACATAATTCAAATAATTAAGTCTAGAGTCAACTGCTTGAATGTTTATATGATTGATAAAATGTTGAACTAATATATATATATGTTAAATGATTTATGATTTTTTTTAATACTAGCTTATCTTGTCTTCTTTTTTTCATATGTAATATTTTTTTTTTTGTAATAATCATTTGTTGGTGTAAGCAGATAATGAGTTAGGTATTAATAGGTCGTTGATGAAACCAATGATATTGTTGAGTGATTTGTTAAGTTTAGCTAGATATTGTATAGTATTTTTTATTTTTTTACATAATTATTCTAGATAACTATATCAATATTTTGTATGTTTCTTTTTATTTATTTGTTCTACATTAATATATGATGTTTTGTTTAATAGTTTATATTATTAAATAGAATATTATAATATTCGTATTTTATTTTATATTTTAAAGACTTAGATAATATGTCATATGTTTTAATAATTAATTAGGTGTATATTATCAAATCCAAGTAAATTAGTTAACGTACATTTGCATTTTTCAATCACGAAACTTAATTATTTATGTAATCTCGTTAACAAATAAGAAAAGTGAAGCATTCCACGGCTCTGTACTTTTTAAACAAAAACATTAGAGATATAAGGCCATTTTATCAGTAATTATGTCTTACAAAGGTGTTTTTTTATTAAAATAAATAGGTCTTTACTTTTTGTTGACTTCTTAAATTGATGTTTTTTCCTTAAAAAAGTTGTTACGTGGCAGATATTGAGGAGTGCTATTAGCATATCATTATCTAAATAATAATGTGATTAAAATCTTTAGTTGCATTCCGTGAACAAATTCTAGAGATTGTAATCTGTGAAAGGTGTCTACATAAATTTTGGAACCTAAAGTTGGACAAACCACACATTAATTAATTTTGTTTTCGAATGCCTTCTTTTCTTCTTTGAAGTTGAAATGTTGACTTATACATTTTTTATAATTAGCTCCTTAAGATTTACCATGTCTACAAGCTTTTTTTATTAAACAACTTTTTTATCATAAATAAATATAAACACTTAAATGTCATGATGACATCTGTCTCATCCTTATATCACTCTTGTATGGTGGCAAAGTGAATGAAACTTAAAAGACAAGTAAATTTTTTAAATAATTCATTACTTTTTTATTAAGTTATTTATAATTTTATTTTTTACACTCTCTCTTATATTAGTAAAATAAAACTTAATGGTAGACAAAAAAAACTTAAATTAGTCACAAATAATTTAAGAAATGAACTAAAAATGCTAAAAAAGTGGCGTACCTTTTTATATCATGTGACAAATAATTCCATGTCCAAACAAAAACCTTACATCCCTCTACACCTCACAAAACCCCCTTTTATTTTATCTCTACCACAGCTACTAAAATAACTTGGAATAATTTCAAGGTCTAACTCTTGTATCTCTATCATTACTATCCATCTTACAATATTACTCAGAATCTAAGTTCTCCAAAATATGTTACTCTTCGACGACTCCATACACTCAAGCTCCAAAAACACAAAACAATAACAAAGATATAAACTAAATTATTCAAACATGTATTTATTTAAATTTCACCCAATCGTAGTTTATATCTAAAATGTATAACTAAAGTAAAAATGTTACACGTAAACTTAAATGCATAATAACTTTTTTTATAAACTTACTTACATATAAATCTATGCATCTTGATCATTTAACGAAGGATCAAATTTGGTGTTTATGGATTAAAATTTAAATGATCCTATATTTCTTTCAACAATGTCGGTGTGGTGATGTGAACTTATTAACCAGAGGCAATCCAAATGCCGATATCATCTTATGAAAGAAGTGGTGGAGATGTTTGAGTCTGCGATTGCATCAACTCAGTTGCCACCTTTGACACTGACACGCGTTATTTAACTAATAAATCTGTGTGCTCAACTTGATGCTGAAACTCATCCAAAAGCGAAGAAAAGTCAAACATGAAGAAGCTATATAAGTATGTACCAATCCCTCTCCATGTTATTCACATCATTAAAACGTTTGCTTTTTATCTCTATCTTCACGTCTCATCTACTTCCTTACAGTTTATGCTTGCTTTGTTCCGATGGCAGCCTCTGCTAAACTCTTATTTTTGTCTTTTCTTGCGTTGTTCATCTCGTCCTCCATAGCTCGAACCTCTTTCAGACCAAAAGCACTTGTTCTTCCCGTCACCAAAGATGTTTCTGCCTCTGTTCCTCAGTATGTCACCCGAATCAAACAAAGAACCCCACTTGTGCCGGTGAAGCTAACCGTTGATCTTGGTGGCGGTTACTTTTGGGTGAACTGTGAAAAGGGCTATGTCTCATCCACTTCTAAACCTGTCCGCTGTGGCTCTGCTCAGTGCTCACTGTTCGGGTCGCACGGTTGCAGTGGGGAGAAAATTTGCGGTCGCTCTCCTAGCAACACTGTAACTGGGGTCTCCACATATGGTGACATTCATGCTGATGTTGTTGCTACCAATTCCACCGATGGAAACAATCCTGTAAGGGTGGTTTCTGTGCCCAAGTTTCTCTTTATATGCGGATCAAATGTTGTCCAAAAAGGCCTTGCCAGTGGTATTACAGGCATGGCTGGTCTTGGCAGGACTAAAGTTTCCTTTCCTTCTCAATTTGCCTCAGCTTTCAGCTTCCCCAGAAAATTTGCCATTTGCTTGAGTTCCTCCACTATGACAGATGGTGTTATGTTTTTTGGAGACGGCCCTTATAATTTTGGTTATTTGAACGAGGATCTCTCCAAGGTTCTCACTTTCACCCCGCTTATTACAAACCCTGTCAGCACTGCTCCTGCCTCTTTCTTGGGGGAACCGTCGGTTGAATACTTCATCGGAGTGAAATCTATAAGAATTTCTGACAAAGATGTCCCGTTGAACAAGACCCTTTTGTCTATAGATAGAAATGGCGTTGGTGGGACTAAGATTAGCACTGTTAATCCATACACTGTTATGGAGACCTCAATTTACAAAGCTGTGTCTGAGGCCTTTGTGAAAGCAGTTGGAGCCGCTACTGTTGCACCCGTGGCTCCATTTGGGACTTGCTTTGCGAACCAAGACATTGGGTACACACCGATGGGCCCGGCTGTGCCTACCATAAATCTGGTGTTGCAGAATGAGAAAGTGGTATGGAGCATCATCGGAGCAAATTCAATGGTGCGGTTTGATGATGTAATTTGTTTGGGCTTTGTGGATGCTGGATCAGGCCCAAGTACAGCCCAAGTTG